TGTATGAAGGTACGTTGGCTGAAAACGGAACATGGAGTTTCTCATTACAGCATTACTGTGTACACATAATGAGGCCTGTCTGTTATGCAAATTATGCTTACATAACACAGGAGTATTATTGGTGTCTCTTTCCTTCACAAATCACTTCCACAAGAGACTCCAAAAGCCAGTGTAGGATGTAAGCACCTTTTCCTTTCTTTTCACATTTTCTCTTTTTGGTATTACCAAACCGTTTAGATGATTTCTCGTTAGTGGTGTTAAACAAGATACATATACATACATACGTACATACATACACACATGCACACAAACATACATACATGCATGCATGCATACATACATACATACACGCACGCACGCACGCACGCACATATAAATATATATATATATATATTTATATTCAGCTTTATTTGTATAGCGCTTTTACAATGTAGATTGTGTCAAAGCAGCTTCACATAAATGGTCATAGTAACTGGAACAGTGTAGTTCAGTTTTTTGTGTTTAAGTTCAGTTCAGTTCAGTTTAGCTCAGTTCAGTGTGATTTGAAATCATTACTGAGAGTTCAAACACTGAAGAGCCAATTCATTGATGCATAGCTCTACCAATCCTGAACCATGCGAGCCAGTGGCGACAGCGGAGAGGGAAAAAAAACTTCACCTAATAGGAGTGAAAAAAAAAACCTTGAGAGACCAGACTCAGTTGGGCACGACCATTTTAATTTCTCCACTGGCCAAAAGTCTTGTGCAGAGCTTCAGTCACCGTGGTGGACTTGCTCCAGAAGAAAAAATATTATCTTATTATATACACATTATATATACACATTATACACACACACACACACACACACACACACACACATATACACATACACACACACACACACACACACACACACACACACACACAGACACAGACACAGACACAGACACACACACACACACACACACACACACACACACACACACACACACACACACACACACACACACACACACACACACAAACAGTGGAACAAACTATTTCTTTTTTTATCTGAAAGGAATATTTGAACCTATCAATTTACAATATACTGTACTGATGCCCTGTTTTTCTAGGCTTTATTGGTGAAAATGGCCAGGAATGTTGGACAATTATTGCCTTTTTAGCATACAAGTAGAGGAAACTAACTAGCCAGACAGTAATGTGTCAATTGTGGAGTGGGCTAAATCTAAAAAAAAAAAAAAAAACATCTGTATCTTTTAGTAAGTGTACTTTTTTGCTTTTATTATTGCCATAATAAGAAATATATTTGATTTGCAGAGCAACACATGTTTTCTTTTCATTAGTTATTGAAAAAAAAAGCTTCAGGAGGTAAAACTGTCTGAGATATGAACAAAAGCAAGTCATGCATTAAACTTTGATTTAAAAATGTTGAATGGTTATAAAAATCTTTATAATCTATAAAATAAATCTATAAAAATATATAGTATAAAAATCTTGAATGATATTATGATATGACGTAGTTCCAGAAACGTTTTACTTCTCTGTTTGTCTGTCTGATTTCACGGTCAGTTTCTTTTCCCTGTCGTTTTAAAAAAATATCACAATGGCGAATGCGTCAAGTATAAAATCCTCGTCCGTTTCGTGAGGTGCGTGTGCAGTCAGCGGAGGTGCACGATACGGTGCCAGACGGAAGTATAAATCAGGCTTAAGAGGACAGTGAGAATGATGGAGAGGGTCGGGGCGATTGCCTTAAACATTAACATTTAGCGTCATTTCTAATTTTACATTACCTTTTTAACTATAAAATGCAAACTGAAAATGGAATGTTTCAATTAGATTTGGTAAATGAATCTTCTTTTTTTAATAATATAAATACTGTCACACATAGAGGACTATGCAGAAAACATCAGCAAGCAAATGCAATTCTGTTATAAATTAAATTGTTTTGTTTTTAATGTAATAAGTTCATTATAAAATGAAAAAATACTGTATTAGTTCATTTAAAGCAATATTCTTTAGACATTTTAAGCATTATGAAATAAATTAAGAAATTACTCATGGCAACTATATTTACCTCCAGCCCACTAGCCTCAATCAAGTTTGGTTTTTGGCCCTTCATAAGAAAAGGTATGGGCACCCCTGGTCTAGTCTTACCAATCATCAATAGCTTTATGGCCCTGTTAAAGCTTGATTCTCAAATAATAGTCTTGGCATAGCTAACATGCAACATTAGATGCCGTAATCTGATTTAATCCCTCTGCTAAATAGCACAGTTCCCTTTCTAAGTCTTTTAAAACTCTGAACAATAATGCTTAGTTCCTTTCACAGTGGATTAGAAAGGATGGCGTAAACAAGCAGAACAATGAAATAAAGGAAGAGCGATTTGACAACGAGAAAAACATTCCAAATAGAATTAGCGTAACATTTCCTCAGCGCTGCGGTTCAGATTTAATAAAACTCATTGAGGGTGGCACGGCATTGAGAGTGATGAAGAAACGAGAGAGAGAGAGAGAGAGACTGGAGAAAATGACAGAAAGAGGAGATAGAAAAAGTGAGAGAGAAAGAGCGAGGGATGAGGGTGTGGGCTCATCACTCCTCCACGCGGCTATCAGACTCAGCACCTCAGGGTTGGCGCAGTGCCATTGCAGCCATGAAACCGAGATGGGCTCCGACTGGCACCATCTAATGCTGACGCCCACCCATCATAACATCCCATCATAGCTCATAACTGTCCTCACACTCACATACAACATCACGCTGCTGGAATGACTCTCTATTCCTTCTGGAGTCAAATGCGGATAATGACGTGTCAGAGGAAAATAATAAATCATTTGAACTCATTCATAGGCACAAAGAATAATGCGTGTATTCTTTTTCAATTTGTGCAAAAAAAAAAAAAAATTATGCTAAAATTATGTCTTAATTTGTAATCCATCAAAAAATATTCCCCAATATCCTGCTTTGACCTTTGGGAAAGGTGATGTGTGTGATTTCTGCACTGCTAGACCAGCAAATTGCTAAACTTATTGGACAAATTTGAACTTTATACTGTATTTTATGCACCAGTAAGGTTGCATTGATAAAGGTTATAGTAAATATGTTGCAACTATTTCACAAAAAAATGCATTGTCTTATTGTATTTTTAATGTTAATGATATATCCCTTCAAATAATGCATCATATTTTCCATAAAACTCACAGGATCTTCCGTACAACTATACATTCATTCATTAATTCATTCATTCATTCATTCATTATTCTTTGGCTTAGTCTCTATTTCAGAGATCGCCACAGTGGAATGAACCGCCAACTACTCTGGCATATATTTTACGCAACGGATGCCCTTCCAGCTGCAACCAAGTACTGGGAAACACCCATACAGTCTCACATTTATACACTCACACATACACTACGGCCAATTTAGTTTATCCAATTGACCTACTGCACAAGTCATTGAACTGTGGGGGAAACCGGAGCACCCGGAGGAAACCAACGTGAACACGGGGAGAACATGCAATCTCCAAACAGAAATGTAAACTGGCCCAAGTGGGACTCGAATCAGCAACCTTTTTGCAGTGAGGTGATCGTGCTAACCCCATAGCCACCGTTTTGCCTTCCTTACAATTGATCAAAGTAAAAGTTTAACTTATGGTAATTCTGTAAGATAATATTTCTAAAAAATATAACTTAAATCTATTATTTTGAGTTAAATAAGTTTGATGATTTCAATTATTTAGACATGATTTCGATTACTAAACTAAAAGTTATCTAATCCTTATGTACTGTGGGAGATGTTTTTATCCACTCTGGGCTGATTTTAGGTTTTAATTTGGCCATAACTTTTTTTGTGTTTCAGCTAGCAAAATGATTTTTGGTGACAAATCTTATTTTGACACACATTTTGAGAAAATGCTTTGATTTAAAAAAAAAAAATCAAAAATACAATTAGGGCAAATTTACTACCCTTTTTTTATGTTAGGGATGAAAACATCCACTGATATAAACTGCGGTAAAAATGCATCAGATACGTTTTTTCTTTTTTTCAAATTGTTTTGCATAAATCTGTTAACCTCAGTCCTGATAAAAAAATTACAGGATTTTAACTTTTTAATTGTCAAATTTATATATGATGTCACTGATTTGGTGAAAAAACAAAAAAATAAAGAATTTTAATATAAAAAGTAACTGTGGACTGGATTATTTTTATTATCTTATATCAAAGTCTTGGACATGTGAAACAACATTGCCTTTTTGATGCATTGTATTTAATTGATTTAAAATTTTCTCTCTAATTTACTGTTGGTGGCTGCTTTTGCCCCATTGACTTCCATTATAACCACATGTTTTGATTAAAAAACAATGACACCATATAATCATGCATTTTTGATTGTTGGTGGTTTTTCCTGTTGGGAAGAGGTCACATTTTTAAAATTTTACTGTTGATCATTAGTTGGCATTATTAACCCTTTAGATAGCCCTGTGCAAAAAAAAAACTTAAAATTCTGGATTTTATATGGAGCATAACAGCACATTTAAGTGTACTGTGTGTGTGTCTGTGAGTGTGTAAGAGTGACCTTTATGCACTTATCTTGATGTGTTCCAGAAAATTTGAATATGTATCTCAGCTCTCAGAACTACATGGATTAAATAAAAACAAAGAAAGTGTATTTATGCACCATCAAATGTGGTTCTAACGGAAGTTAATGGGGTAAAAACAGCCACCAACAGTAAATTAGGGAGAAAAAATTAAAATCAAATGCATCAAAGCCATTGTTGTTACTAATTGTTCACATGTCCAAGACTGTAATAAAAAGTTTAAAAAATCCAGTCCACAATTACTTTTTATATTGAAAACACGTCATTTTTTGTGTTTTTTTTTTTTTTTACCAAATTAGTAACATCCTTTGTGAACTTGGCAATTAAAGAGTTAAAATCCTGTAATTTTAAAACAATTCAGTAGTTTTGATCAGGACTGAGGTTATTTAACAGATTTCTGGAAAAAAAAAATGGAAAAAAAATATTTATCTGGTGGATTTTTACATCAGTTTAGGGTAGTAATTTAATATTTAATGTTCAGAAAAATATTTGTAACGTTAAAAAAAATTGAAAACTGATTTCATAGAGAGGTACACTGCATTTTGCTCATATAAATGCAATCATCTAAAGTATCAGAGACTTTCAAAAAGAATCTCAAACATTTTACTGAGTGCAGAATTACTAAATTACTCTCATGCTTATGTTCACTGGTTAAACAAACTATTTGACCTTCTCCAAACTCACACAACTTGCCACTGTAAAAAGTGCACAAGGCATGTCATTACTCTAAAGAAGTTTTTTAACTTGATCTAACTCAAAACATTTAATTTTCTGTCTAGTCATCAGTGTAATGTAAAACAATTGTGTTGATTTAAATTAAAAGTAAGTCTTGTTGGTGTAAAGTAAATAAATTCTTTAAATTAAATTAAACATATTGCTTCCAATTGTCACGTGACTTTAAACGTCATCCCTGGTCCTGCCTGTCCACATTCAGGTTTCCGCCATTTTTTTTTATACCGCATGGATGGGCTCGGCGTGGTGAAGCGGGAATCAATAAAATTGGTAAGTAGTTTTAAACATATGTTTGGGTGTATAATCAACAGTGTACATGTATGATTTCATAAAAATGGTATGTTGTTTTACATACTGTAAGTATTACTAGTTTGACCAATCCAGCTCTGCTAAAAGGTTTGCAAATTTCCCTCATCACTATGTTAAACCGAGTGAAAATTAAACAATAGTCATACAAGTAAACTGCTTGAGGTAAAACGGATTGATATTTAAGCGTATTTTCAAAGACTGTTTGCGGTATGCTAATGCTTTCGGTTAATGCTGTGCGCTAACGTACGGCGCCATTAGCATGCATGTTCTCAGCTTAACCTTACATGGCGCCGCCATGTATAAAGTGCATGCAGGCTTCAGACGTTTTGTATGGGACTCAGCGTTGTCATTGAGTGTCAAAGCTTAGCCATTACACAAGATATTCGTTCCGTTTGCGTGTATGGTGTGTATAACGTGTTCTTTAACGTGGTCACGCCAGCCGTGCTTTGAAAGATCACAGTAAGGGCAGCCGTGGTTTTCGGGGGGCTGCGCATCTATTCGCGCACTTAAGGTATGGGTGCTGGTAGCGGTCAAAATGCTTGTAGAGGAGCAGTGAACGCCGTTTGCTTTCCTGATGTTTTCAATATATTGCTTCTGTTTCTGAATCTAAATATTACTGCATTACTGCATGACATTTATCTATTATTTGTTTTGAATGTCATCTTATTAATTTTCTTTTTTTTTCCAGAATCCTTAAGCATGTCAGGAAGATCTGCCAAGCTTTTGGTGATAGTGAGTCAAGATGATTCAAGAAAGTTGCTTTTGCCAGATGGGATTCCCAAATCAGTGGATGCGCTCATTGAAAAGGTGAGAAAAGATTTTGGATTAAATGACAGAGTCAGACTACAGTATCAGGACAAAGATTTTGGGGATGTATTTGTAAATTTGACAAACACTGGAGAACTTCTGAGTCTTGACACTCTAAAGATTATCCCCTTGCCAGACAAATACTCATTCATTGCTCAAACTATTGATGGGACCCAGTCTAATGATGATGCTCTGTCCTCCGTTAGCTCTAGCAGCACTGATGATACAATCATACTCTCAAGAACTGCAAGAAAGATGGCCAGCACTGTTTCAACAAGAGGAGGTAAAAAATAAATAAAAATAAAAACAACTTTTTTATTATTGATAAATGTTAAAATGTACATGACTAATTCTGAATTTACCATAGTTTTTACCATGGGGTTGTAGCATCTAATGTTTTTGAAAATGTCTTAGATGACCTAATTAAACTTTTTTTATTGTTTAATGGTTTATGTGTATATGTATTTTTACTGTTAGTTCTCAAAGTAACTTTTTTCATAAGTCTATTTTCTATTTCTCTTTCTTACAGATTGATGCCGAATTTTTGCACAACACAACCTTACCTTTACAGTTAAGATTTATGGCCTCTTTGGACAGACAGAGCTCTCAGATTCTCCAGGTTATTAGGAGCAAAGGTGGAGTCCTCCGTGAAAAAGCGAAGGACACTATTTAAGTTATGGATCAGGTATTGGTTGCATACAAACAAAATTGCTTGTAGCAATTAATTAATAGTGTTTTGGTTTAATGAAAACAATACATCTTGAACATTTTTAGAGCCTGGACATAGACATCAGAGGAGAGTGCCTGCTGAAGTGCCTGATCATGTACCTTTGTGAAGATGCAAGCTATCTGATCGAAGAATACCAGGTAATGTTGACAATGCAAACTCCTAAAATTTTCTCCAACCATATTTGACTTGGTTATATTTCACTTTCAAATCAATATTTTACCACTTTGCTCAAGCCTTAAGGGTAAGAAAAACATGGGGAATTCTGATTTGGTGAAGAAATTACTTTAAAGTGGTTCAAGTTATTGTGTTATCATTTACACATCAGCCTGTGTGACTTCTTTCACAGAACACAAAATAATATATTTTGAAGAATGTTGTTAAGAGCCCCTATTCACTTGCATTGGTTTTGTGTGAATACAATAATAGTGAACAGGGGCTGTTATCAACATTGTTCAAAATTCTGCAGAGGACAGTATTTCATTCAGATTTGAAATGTCAAAAGGGTGGTAAATGATGGCTAAATTTTGAATGTGAACTACTGCCTTAAAAGCATTTTTTCCATTTTTAACTGCATTTTGAACAAATTTGAGTAGATTAATGAATGCCTCTGATTGGAAATTGTGGTACTGCACTCAACAAAGTTGTCTACAATGGTCATCACATTAAAAGTGTTAGTTTGTACAAATGTTAAAAGCATTTTTGAAGCTAAAGAGGGTGTAAAAGTACATCTTCACCCAAAAATTTAAATGTTGTCTTGTAAAAAAAAATACACATTTATTTACACAAATGAGGATATTTTAATTAAAGCAAGCTAAAGACATTTGGCCTCTACATTAACCACCATAATGGCTAACTACAAAATGGCTTACTCAATTTTGGAAGAATTTTCAGATGAAGGGTTTTTTTTTTTTATACAAAATTTTTTTTTCCCCAAACTCCCTTATTAACTCTTTTTTTTTTCTTGCATGTTTTTAGGCTGACCAGAGGGAGGAAGCAATGGGTGAATTTGAAAAGAACACCATGACACTTTTTGTGACCCGTGAAAGTGATGCTCTTACTCGTGCACTGGACATTTCGATTGTCATTGACTGTGTGGAAGTACTAAATGAGTTGCCTTCTGTTGCATGTCCCTGCGCCATGATGTTTGGACTCATTTATGCACTGAACTTAAAATATCCCGAAGGACTCAAATATATCTTTGAGACCTTTCAAAAAATAATCATGGACTTGGAGAGTAGACAGATGAGCCGAAGGGTGCCGAACCTGCAGGAGTAAGCAGATGTGCTGAAGAGTGCAGAACCTCTCTTTAAAGCTACTGGAGATAACTTGTATCCTTTGACTCAACTACAGTGTTCTGATTGCGATATATTTTAGATGTTGGACTTCTTCATTTCTTCATCTTCATTATAAAGCATTAAATAGTTTACCAAAACATGAAAGTTCATACATTGTTTACTCATCTTTAAGCTATTCTAAGTATTTAACTTTAATTAAATTAGGTTCAGAGAAATTTAATGACAATTATGAGAGAAGTTTAATTTTTCGGTAAACTATTTCATTAAGGTGAAGACTTCTCTTTCAACAGTTGGCTAATTTGTTACAGAGTTATTAAAAAGTATTTAATTTTACACTGCACATTTTAAGCCATTTTTTGGGCCAAACTTGTTTTAACCTCAGAAGAATTCTTAAGGTTTTGTGTAGTCAGTTTTGATTGACTGTTCATGAAAAGGTGTCCAATGATTACTGATTCCTATGGTGAACTTCCATTGTATCCAGGGTCTTTGTATATGGATACTAAAAACTGTTGTACAGTATAATTTTATAAAAATGCTATGCACATTGTAGAAATGTTTTATGACATAAATTGTCATGTTTGTTATGTTTACATTGTTAGACAGTGTGTATTTGTACTGTACACATTGTAAAAAATGTGGTATTGACAAAATAAATTGTCAATAGTTTGATGCTTGGAGTCATTCATCTTAAACGATAAAATTACACATTTTAAAAGCAAATCAATTTCTTTATATTACTTTAATATTTTAAATTGTATTTGATTGGATATTTGATTTGATGTAAAGTAAAATAATTAAGTTAATACAAAGTAAAACAATAAAGAGTAAATAAAGTAAATTTAAGATTTCAAAAAACTTAAAAACTTTATTTGGTTCAAAGAGATTTTTTGCTTTGGCCAAGTAATAGAGAATTAATTATTTTTAAAGTAAAAAAATTAAGTTGATTTAAAGTAAAGTAATTAGGTGTAACAAGTTGACGCAATTTTTTTACTTTGATCCAATGAAACACTTTTTACAGTGTGTTCAACCAATCTTATCATAGTTTGCTTAGCCATTTTCATTTCTGTTCGATTGTGCAGAATTACCACACCTCATCTTTACGCTTCAAAAGGACCATCAACCAATTTGAACTCCTTGCGATGTATTGTATATTTAATGTAGGGACTCACCTCTCTTCTGAACAATAATTCGAAGCAGCGGGTTGGCTGAGGACAGGGCTTTGTGGAAGTTGTAATCATTGTTGATTGGAAGTAGATCTCCGTGGATGTCTGCATATCCTAGCAGCACGTCCACTCCAGGGATCCGGTGAATCGTCTGCAGCAGCTGGTAGAATTCCTGGAAGCCCCCGGTATTCTTCTTCAGCGCAAACCTTCGGTACTCGCCCTCAAACTGCCAAACAAACCACAACTATGTCAAATTATGTCCAAATAAAATACAAAACAGCCTCTTAGTGAACAAAACTAAGATTGCAAGATCAATCCTTACAACACTATAAGATATAGTGTGTTCACATTTTTCTGAAATATTCAAATTCTTATAGTGCGTCATATTTATTGCTGCTCAGCGCAATATCATGTATAAAATCTATCGAATGTGTGTGAAAGGAACTTTTGCACATGAGCAAATATGTTTCCCATTCCCATTCTTCTTAAAGTTAATCTAAAAATGAACATTCTCTTATCATTTACTCAATCATTTACCTTTTTCTGCTAAACATACAGTAAAAGAAGATGTTTTTAAGTAAATAGGTTAACAAACTGTTGATGGTCCCCATTGAATTCCATGCTCTTTTTTCCATTGTATGGAAGTCAATAGAAAACATACATTTTTAGGTCACCAACATTCTTCTTCTTTTGTGTTCAGGAGAGCAAACAAATAAACAAACAAACAAACATAAATGCTCATACAACTTGAGGAGAAGTACATTTTAATTCAAGACAGTCCATGCTCACTAAAAATATGTCTGCAAAATTTAAATTTTAAAAACATAAATTTCCTGCTTACATTTGAGCACTGTTCAGCACATATTTAAACACCACTGATTGGCCACTGTGTTCAAGTGCTCAACAGAAATGACTGTGATTGGCTGTGAAATTCATCACCATTCTTCACAGTTGTTTACCAATTACAAACACAGATACACAGACACTGGGGTCTGTTCATCGTACGTGGATTACTCAATTAGCTGGATTTGGTTATTGACAATTTGAGTTGTTGTCCTAGCAACAGTTCTGGTAGCTCAAACCTGTTTGGGAGCAAGCTCATTTCATATAAACAGAATTAGATCGGGTCAGATCAAGCAAAGATAATACTGAAAGTATGTACTGAATTCTGATATTTTCTTACAGTTGTGGTAATACACTTTTAAAAATTGTAAAAAAAAAAAATACACACACACACACACACACACACATACACATACACATACACATACACATACATACATACACATACATACATACATACATACATACATACATATATAAATATATATATATATTTATATATATATATATATTTTTTTTTTTTACGCAGCGGATGCCCTTCCAGCCGCAACCCATGTCTGGGAAATATATATGTATATATGTATGTATGTATATATATATATATATATATATATATATATATATATATATATATATATATATATATATATATATATATATATATATATATTTAATATCTTCTGGCAGCAACCTAGCTTTCCCATGTGGTCTCCTATCCAGGTACTGACTGGGCACAGTCTTGCTTAGCTTCAGTGGGTGACCATGTGAAAGTTAAAAAGAGCTAGCTGCCAGCAAATAGTATATTTTTTTATGTAGGTGACAACTGAAAATAGATCTGATGGCAGATATCACAGCCTGTGTTACTTTTTACAGTGCACTTTTTGCTATCAATTATTATTATTTGTTTAGTATTTGTTTTCACATTTTGATCCAATGCTTAATTATTAAATTGTAAAATAATAGCGCTATAATTAAATGAAATATTGTTAGGAACAAAATATGATGTGTTCTTTGGAAGAGTGCTTACATTATGATGCTATTGTATTGTCATATATATATATATATATATATATATATATATATATATATATATATATATATATATATATATATATATATATATATATATATGACTGGCATAAAATGGTCTTAAAATGACAATAGTATAATTTATCACAATATATTTTGGTGCAATATTTAATACAACAAAATATAGATATCATAACAGGTCCACTTGTGTGGACCCTTGCTCAAACTTGAGTGCTCTGCAGCAAACTGACCACATCAGAAAAGAGGTCCATTTGAAGGAAGACAGGTGAGGAAATGTTTTTGATTTCAAATGATAAACAGTGTTACATTTTTGTGGTATTTGTCTGTTTTCATGCAAAGAACAGCATAAAAAACTCTTTTAATTATTTATATTGTCATTGTAAATATCATTAATGTGAAAAGCAACAAATGTTATTTCCGTCATACGGCTCTTTAACCTTTACATAGAAACTGCAGTCAAACATTACAAGTACATTTGTGTGGTTTCTCAAAAATGTAGTCTGAAGCATGCATTTCCAATAAGCCTGTGTTGATTTAAGTTGATCACATGTATTCAAGGGCGTAGATTGGGCATGGACGGAGGGGATGTGTCCCCACCAATATCCAGCAATTACTGAAATGTCCCCACCAATAATTTAATCACCTTCAAAATAAAATAATGCTTCATTAACCCTTAGTAACCTAGACATGCAGAAAGGGTTCAATCAAAACAAAACACATAAGGACAGTGTGATCATTTGGGCCTATTTATGCTGTTAAGGACAGCTGTAATTACATTTGAATGTGGGAAGGGCCAAAACAAGGACTTTTTCCAGTCCTCCTTCACTGCACAAGATGTGGACAAAAGTAGAAACTTTTTATAGAGTCAACTTTTTAAAGTCAAGTTAAATTAAGTCCACCATAATAATATAAACCAAGACTGTGCAATTATTCAAAATTCAGTTTTGATTTTGACGATTTTTCATGATTATGAAAAATAGTAATCGGGATAAAACGATTAAATTGCATCATGTTGCATTAATTGTTATTCATATTATTAACGGTATAAATCCTTTATTCATGTTTGTGTGCTGTTTTATGCATGCGCTATAGACGTATGTCCCCACCAATGTAAAGAGCAAATCTACACCCTTACATGTATTCATCACAACAACAACAAAAAAATCAGCTTTCAAATGCTTTTTTGCCAGTGAATTTCATCAACATTTTCACTAATGTTATGACAACTTTAAAATAGCCTTTTCTACTTAATCTTGTACAGTCATTTCACACACATAGAGTTCCAGCTCTTTGAGCCAATTCCACCCGTTCCTGCAACTGCAGTGCTGTTTGATGTGCACTTGCAGCTCGGAGGAAGCCATTAAGGTGAAAAAGACAGCAAAGAGGAACAAAGGGAGGGTCAATTTAATCAAGTGTTACAGATAAAGAGAAAAGATGAGAACAGTGGCATTAAAAAGCTGAGCTTCTCCAGACCGCACACACAAACAGATCCTGAGTGGATGGGGAATTCATCTCAAGAGCTCAGCTGAACATATTGGACAAAATCTGTCAGATTGCTCGGTTTATGAGCAGCAACTGCATCTTCAGCCAAAGATTTTCCTCCAGTCTCCTTGGAGAATCCTTACATATGGAGATGGAGATTGCTTGTCAGAAATAGCCAAGGTCATTTTGTAGATCATCTCAGTCTGAAGTGATGGAGTAGTAGGAGTGGTGGGGCGTTCTCATGCTGCCATTCATAAAAATAAAACTCAAAGGTTTTTTAAAAGTGAAGGACATTAGTCCTATAGCTGGTCTGGCTCATTTGAGCATAAAAAAATGCAAAGAAATCTTTTAGATGTGATAATCAGGGATGGTAACTTTCAAACATATTTAATTAAAAAGGTGTCATTTATAACCTTGCCTGATTCTCTTCCATACTTTCATCTTTTCTCTTTATCATGGTTACATTTCAAAGAGAAAAGTTTAATTTCATGTACTGTGCAAGTTCTTCATAACCTTTGATCAAAATAACTTTCTTCACCTAGGAAAGCTTTTCTTTATATTACTTTCATATATATGGAAATGATCTGTTTCTCTAAACGTACTGGATTTACTAGGTTTGCATTTCAGTTAAATGTTAATGTTTGTTTTATTCTAAGACCTTATAGCATATTCTCCATGTTGATTGTTGATTTCATACCTCTTCAGATGTTTAAACACTGGCATAGAATGGTGTCTAAAAATGTATATAAAAATCTGACACATAAAACAAATATACCCCAGGCCCAGTGCTTAATTTGTAAATAAATAATTTCTGGAACAAACCAGGAAATAAAAGTTACCGTGACCGACGTCCACCACACATTTTCAGTTTTCCCGAAACATGATGTTAGTAAGCAGTTATGAAAAAAAAGCATCAATTTTCTGAAAGGTCTTTAAAGGTTCACGGAAACTTTAAGTACTTTTTTTGAGGTTTTACCAGATTTGTGTGTGTTGACCATCAGTTAGGACAATGTTAGCACCAGTTAGCTTTAATTGTGGAGAAAACTGGGTAGTTTTGAGCTTTTATCAGCTAATTTCAGCTTCCGGGTTTAAAATGATTTTTGGGGTGGGATCAAAATCTGCGACGGAGCGCTGAACTGCAAGTGCAAAGATGACTCGTCGGTTTCTCCTTATTATTCATAGCAGAGTTGTCCTATTAGAAGAGCCGGCTTTTTAAATATTCATAAGAGCACGTGCTTTCCGAAGACAAAGCAGACCTGGCTGCCAGTGCCAAGCTCAGCTTTGAAATCCTACGTTGATGAATGGGTGAGACCCGTCCACGGACCCACGGCACACAGTATTTAGTCGTTCATGAAGGGTCGTGTGTGTTTGTCTCCATGATCCACGGGGTTTGTTGCATGTTTTTCCCCGCGATCCTGTCAGGGCCAATACAGCAAAGTTGTGTGTGTGTGTGCTGCAAGCATTTTTGTCGGGAGAGCAGAACGAGAATTGGAGAATGGCGGATGTTGTCTTTTATCAGGAGTTCGTTCACATTTAGACACATTGCCGTGCTGCTGTGTTCGCCTAAATCCTCCAGATTACCAGCAGGGCTAATTGTTAAAATGGACAGGGCAGAGACCTGCTGCACTGAGTCTGCATTCAGACCCGAGGATAGGGAGAAAAGTCCTCATTTAGTGTTTATATGAACACGATTATCTTTATAATGATATAAATTGTGGTTATGTGTATATAGAATTACAAATGTAGCAGGGCATTACATTACTTTTTATTTCTGTGATTTTAACTTTTTAAACTATAAAACCTCCACATGGTTTGTGTCTCATTTTGTGAACCAACTGACAACAGTTGATC